CAAAGTGCTGGGATTACCAGCATGAGCCATTATGCCAGGTTGTGAACTTGCATTTCTAGCAAGATCCCAGGTGATGCTTCTAGTCGGGACCATGCTCTGAGCAGCCCTGGTCTAGAGTAAACAAAATGCAAGGCGCTCTACACCATTTGTCACTGATGATTAACAAGCCTGGACATTTTCATTTTGTGGTTTCAGAAGATAAGACCTTTTAGATATTTATATTTGCCACCTTCTGTGCTTTTAGGAGAATGCACAGAATGAACGTTTGTTATCCTCAGAGTGTTCGGCTCAGTAAGATTTTTCCATGTTATCACCTTCTACCCTCACAGAACTGACATTATGGGGGCATTTTCCTGCATTTATAAAGCTCCCTGTTTTATTATTAATATTTGAAAGATTTGCCAATGTGTTAGCAGCATAGAGCATACTCAGTCTAATGACCATAGTAGGCATTGCCTTCAGAAAATAGACATAGATTACAACTGGAGTTAGCACTGACCTAAACTTTTAAGACATACCCATAAAAGATGCGCAGGGCTTGAGATCTTACAAAGAAAAGCAGTTGTGCCTGCCTATCCAAGATGCTCAGTAACTTATGATGTCTTCTCTGAGTTTCTTTGCTATGGTTTCTAGAACACCAGCCAATTGAGGTTCCCTTCAAAAGGAACAAAGCTTAGCACTTAGAAAATTAACTGCCTCAGCCAGCCACATGGCTCATCCCTGCAATCCCAGCATTTTGGGAGGCCGAGGCGGGCAGATCACCTGAGGTCTGGAGTTCAAGACTAGCCTGATCAACATGGACAAACCCCATCCCTACTAAAAATACAAAATTAGCCAGGAGTGGTGGTGCATGCCTGTAATCCCAGCTACTCGGGAGGCTGAGGCAGGAGAATTGCTTGAACCTGGGAGGTGGATGTTGTGGTGAGCTGAGATCGTGCCATTGCATCATTCCAGCCTGGGCAACAAGAGCAAAACTCCATCTCAGAAAAGAAAAAAAAGAAAGAAAGAAAAGAAAATTAACTGCCTGAGGATGCAGTAGTCACCTTCTCTCCTATGTGAACAGACATCTATGAAGTGCAACTCAGCTGTTCCTGGGACTTCAAGTCTTCCATCAGTATCTCTGGCATAGAAAAGCAGGAGCTTTCTTCGAGAGCAATTCCACTGCTAAGTCAATTACCACAGGGTGTGGCAGGCTTTTAAAGAGATTAAACTACCCTTTCTACTCAAAGAAAATAATCAATTCTCAAATGGGACCCCTCTAATAATCCATTTGCTCAGATACAATGTACTCCTGTTGGCAAATTATCTAGTTTCATCTACATTGTTTGAATAAACGCTTTAGAATTCTGGGAAGGATGTACAATTCAGAAAGCCTGTACACAAAAATGAGGCCAGGGTCCTAAGAGGATGAAAACATTCTGAGAAGTCCAAATAATTGAAACCAAATCTCTAAATCAAAGCCATTTAAAGAAAGTTCTGAAAGACTCAGTTTTAAATTCTTTGTATATGCCAGTTGCAGTAGTTCCTTTAATTTGATTTAGCAGCTACTAAATATCTGTGCACATGCCTCTATACCTCAGTTTTCTCATCTGTAAAATGTAGATAATTGTACCTACTTTATAGGATTGTGGTAAGGTTAGATGAATTAATAAATGTCAAGTCTTGAAAATCATTTCTGGTACATAATAAACATGATACAAAATTTCTGAGGATCTAAGTTACGAAGAGTTTTATGACTTAGTATATCCTGACCTCACTGCACACCCATACCTGGTAATTGACATGCCTATCCTATGTATGAATACAATCCATGCTGGGTAAAGTGGAAAGAGTGTAGACCAGCTCTGTCAAATTATAGAAATACAATGTAAGTAACTGATGTGGTTTGGCTGTGTCCCCACCCAAATCTCACCTTGAATTGTAATAATCCTCATGTGTTGAGGGTAGGGCCAGGTGAAGTGGATTTCCCAATACTGTTCTCATGGTAGTGAATAAGTCTCATGAGATCTGATGGTTTTATAAATTGGAATTCCCCTGAACACACTGTCTTGCCTGCCTCCATGTAAGACATGACTTTGCTCCTCATTCACCTTCTGCCATGATTGGAGGTCTCCCAGCCATGTGAAACTGAGTCAATTAAACCTCTCTTTATAAATTACCCAGTCTCAGGTATGTCTTTATTAGCAATGTTAGAACAGATAATATAGTAAATTGGTACCAGGAGTGGGATGCTACTATAGATACCTGAAAATGTGGAAGCGACTTTGGAACCAGGTAACAGGCAGAGGTTGGAACAGTTTGGGGGTGCTCAGAAGAAGACAGAAAAATGTGGGAAAGTTTGGAACTTCCTAGAGACTTGTTTAATGGCTTTGATCAAATTGCTAATACTGGTGCAGACAATAAGGTCCAGGCTGATGTGGTCTCAGGTAAAGATAAGGAACTTGTTGGGAACTGAAATAAAAGTCACTCTTGCTATACGAAGAGACTGGCAGCATTTTTGGTCCTTCCCTAGAAATCCATGGAACTTTGAACTTGAGAAAGTTGACTTAGAGTATTTAGCAGAAGAAATTTTTTTTTTGAGAGAGAGTTTCACTCTGTCACCCAGGTTGGAGTGCAGTGCTGCAAACTTGGTTCACTGCAATCTCTTTCTTCCTCCCCAGCTCAAGTGATTCTCATGCCTCAGCCTCCCAAATAGCTGGGATTACAGGCATACACCACCACACCCAGCTAATTTGTGTATTTTTAGTAGATATGGGGTTTTGCTATATTGGCCAGGCTAGTCTCAAACTTTTGACCTCAAGTAATCTGTTCACCTTGGCCTCCCAAAGTACTGGGATTACAAGTGAGAGCTGCCGTGCACAAACTTTTTTTTAAAATTGAGAGGAAGTCTTACTCTGTTGCCCAGGCTGGCGTGCAGTGGCATGATCTCAGCTCGCTGCAACCTCTGCCTCTTAGTTTCAAGCAATTCTCCTGCCTCATCCTCCTGCGTAGCTGGGGCTACAGGCATGTGTCACCATGCCCAGCTAATTATTGTGGTTTTTTTTTATTGGTAGAAATGGAGTTTCACCCATCTTGGCTAGGCTGGTCTTGAACTCCTGACCTCAATAAATTGGCAGAAGAAATTTCTAAGTGGCAAAATGTTCAAGAGAAAGCAGAGCATAAAAGTTTGGAAAATTTGCAGGCTGACAATGCCATAGAAAAGAAAAACCCATTTTCTGGGGAGAAATTCAAGCCACCTGCAGAAATTTGCATAAGCAACGGGGAACCAAATGTTAATCACCAAGACAATGGAGAAAATGTCTCCAGAACATGACAAAGACCTTCTTAGCAGCTCCTACCATCACAGGCCTGGAGGCCTAGAAAAGAAAATTAGTTTCGTGGGCCACACCCAGGGCCACCCTGCTCTCTGTAGCCTCAGGACATGGTGTCCTGTGTCCCACCTGCTTCAAGTCCAGTCTTGGCTAAAAGGGGCCAACATACAGCTAAGGCCATTGCTTCAAAGGGTGCAAGCTCCAAGCCTTGGCAGCTTACATGTGGTGTTGGGCCTATGAGTGCACAGAAATGAAGAACTGAGGTTTGGGGAACTTCTGCCTAGATTTCAGAGGATGTATAAAAATGCCTGGATGTCTAGGCAGAAGTTTGCTTCAAAGGCAGGGCACTCATGGAGAACTTCTACAAGGGCAGTGCAGAAGGGAAATGTAAGGTTGGAGCCCCCACACAGAGTCCCTACTAGGGCCTGTGAGAAGAGGGCCACTGTCCACCAGACCCCAGAATGGTAGATCCACTGACAGCCTGCACCATGCACCGGGAAGAGCCACAGACACTCAATGCCAGCCTGTGAAAGCAGCCAGGAGGGTGGCTGTATGCTGCAAAGCCATAGGGACAGAGCTGCACAAGGCCATGGGAGCTCACCTCTTGATAAACACACCCTGGACGTGAGACACAGTGTCAAAAGAGATCATTTGGACCTGTAAGTTTTAATGACTGCCCTATTGGATATCAGACTTTCATGGGGCCTGTAGCCCCTTTGTTTGGGCCAATTTCTTCCATTTGGAGCAGGTATATTTACCCAATTCCTGTACCCCCATTATATATGGGACATAACTAACTTGAACTTGCTTTTGCTTTTACAGGCTCTTAGTCAGAAGGGACCTGCCTTTTCTCAGACCAGACTTTGGACTGTGGACTTCTGAATTAATGCTAAAATGATTTAAGACTTTGGGGGACTGTTGAGAAGGCATGATTGGTTTTGAAATTTGAGGACATGAGATTTGAGAGGGGCCAAGGGCAGAATTATATGGTTTGACTCTGTTCCCACCCAAATCTCACCTTGAATTGTAATAACCCCAAGTGTTGAGGGTGGTGCCAGGTGGACATAACTGAATCATGGGAGTGGTTTCCCCAATACTGTTCTCATGGTAGTGAATAAGTCTCACAAGATCTGATGGGAGTTCCTCTGAACACACTCTCTTACCTGCCACCATGTAAGACATGGCTTTGGTCCTCATTTGCCTTCCACCATGATTGTGAAGCTTCCCCAACCCTCTGGAACTGTGAGTCAATTAAACCTCTTTCTTTTATAAATTACCCAGTCTCTGGTATGTCTTTTATCAGCACTGTGAGAACAGACTAATACAGTCACATATATTATATGTTAATTTTTTTACTTTTATTTTTTGAGATAGAATCTCACTTTGTCACCTAGACTGGAGTGCAGTGATGTGATCTTGGCTCACTGCAACCGCCGTCTCTCAGGTTCGAGCAATTCTCCTGCCTCAACCACACAAGCAGCTGGGATTATAGGTGCATGCCACTGTGCCTGGTTAATTTTTTTTGTATTTTTAGTAGCGACAGTTTCACCATTTTGTCCAGTGTGGTCTTGATCTTCTGACCATATGATCCACCTGTTTCAGCCTACCAAAGTGCTAGGATTATAGGCATGATTTTTGTTGTTGTTGTTTTGTTTTGGTTTTTTTTTGTTGTTGTTGTTGTTTTTCAAAAGGATGCCATTTATTCAACAGAAGGCACTAAAACTAACTCTCCTTCCTGGAATATGACTTAATTCCTCTGTTTTTCAGCTATTCACCAATAAAACAATACTGGGACTATTCTTAACATAGAAAAACCACAGCACATTAGCCACCTTTTCAGGGCATCAAAGGATAACTGAAGCCCAGGGCCAAGGATATTCAGGGAGGTCAAGTGCCCGAAGATACTAAGAAATGGTTTTGAAAACCAAAAGTCAAGTATACTTCAGTATCTTTATGTTTAAAAATAAATAACTAAAAATATAGCCTCAGAAAAAGCTCATATATGTATATATATATAAATGCTCATATATATCTATGTGACCCATCATGATAAATATTGACTTTATTGTTTACACTCAAATAATTTTGCATTTTCTTTTGTTAGACTATTTCAAGACTGTAATTGTTTTGTTTTGTTGTTTTTAGTGAGAGGGTCTCACTGTGTTGCCCAGGCTGGTCTTGAACTCCTGGGCTCAAGTGATCTGCCTGCCAAAGTGCTGGGATTGCAGGCAAGAGCCACCACATTTGGCCAAGACTGGACTGTTTTCAGTAAAATATTCACAATTGTGAAATTCCTCATTTCCCTCTAGTCTGAAAGGACAGCTTTCAGAGATGTGATTCTTCTCAGATGTCTCCTGAAGTTTTGATTTCCACTGAAAGCAAACTGGAGCCATCCACCAAGTTAAGGAATCACTATGCCTTTGTGGGTTCATCTGTGGCACTGGAATCAGCTGTCCTCTTCCAAATCTGAGATCCCAAAATCTTCTGTCTTGATTGTTCTGTTGCCAGTTGTCAACAAGCTCTTCTCAAATTCTTCAGTTATTTTGCCTTTTTAAAGTTTTTTCAAGAGTCTTGTGTTACTGAGAAGTTCTTCCATGTCCTCATCTTCAATATCAGAACCCTCTTCCCTTTTCCTCCTCTCATTCATTTTTTTCTTCTTTTCTTTTTTGGCCTTCTGCTTTGACCAAGCTTTATTTTTTATGAATTTTCTCCTCTTATCATTTTCTGTTTTCTCTTTTCTTTGTTGCTTCAGGAGTTTCTGCCTCTGCTTTTCTCTAATTTTATCTTTAAATTGAATAGTGTCTGTATTAATGTCCACAGGCACAAAATCTGGAAATTGCTTTCCTCTCAATTCTGGCATCTTGGGCATCCTCAACAGGGCAAAGCCTCGAGCAAGGCTGGCTAAATCAAGATCCTTTAATCTGAAAATCAGGTTGCATTCACGCTTTGCATAAGCCTGGATATACGACACAAAAGCTCTCATGCCCTTTTCAAACACAGCTCTGCCGGCCAAGACCATGGACTTGAGTTTTGGCAGAAGGTCCACTGTGTTTTTCTGGAGCTTCATCTCCTGCGGGGGCATTTTTGGTTAATTTCAAGGAAATTGATGTATGACTCTTCCATAGGCAGAAGGAACACCAGAGCACTGCCCCTGTGGCCAATGCGGGCCGTGCGACCTCAGCGATGCACGAAGGCGCTTGCACTGCTGGGAGGGTCATACTGCAAAACCCAGTTGACTTCAGGAATATTGATTCCCCGGGCCATCACATCAGTGCACACTAAAATCCCACTTTGCAATTTGCGGAACTCCATGAAGATCTTACTGCGTTTATATTTCATCTTTCCATGAATGCACATAATCTTCATGACCTTCACCAGCGCCTCCAGAGCCTTCCCATAGTATTCCACACAGGCACAGGTACTGAAGAAGACCAGGTGTTTCTCCTGCTTATGACTGCAAAGGAAATGGACCAGCTGATTAAATTTCTCATCTGCCTTGCATACCATGTAGTAGTTTTCCAGGCGGGAGGGGGTCTTCTGGGCGCGGCTGGCTGTCACGCCCTTGTCCTTCACTGAGACCCGGACAGGGTTCTGGAGGCCAGCTCTCACCAAGTTCTCCAGCGTCTGAGTGGCTGAGAAAAGGCCTGTTCTCCTCTGCTTTGGCAACAACTCCAGGATAGTGTTGATGCTTGCCTCGAACCCCATGTCCAAAAGTCTGTCTGCCTCGTCCAACACCAGGACATCCAGGAATCGCACACAGCCGGCCAGATCCAGGCCTTCTGCCTTCCTTCGGAACATGTCTTCCAAGCGGCCGGGAGTGGCCACAATGATGTTCCCACCTTGTTGCCTAAACCTCTCAACATCTTCTCCAGGATTTCTGCCTCCAATCCAAAGAATCTGGCTGAATTGAGGGAAGTGCTTCGTGAAATGCGACAGGACCTCGTCTATTTGAATGGCCAGCTCTCGAGTGGGGGTGATGATTAAGGCTCCAACCTGACTTTTTTTTAACTTCTCTTCTCTTCTCAGAAGAATTTCCAGGATGGGGATGACAAAAGCGAGTGTTTTGCCACTACCTGTGACCGCTTCTGCAGCAACATCTTTGTTTCGCAAGAACAGAGGGATGGTTGCAGGTGAGCGCCTACGGTGTGCGGACTGGTTTATTTAGTCCCGACAGCAACCCCATGAGGCACAGAGAAGGAAAATGAAGCACGAAGAGATTAAGCCATTTGTCCAAGGTCTTACAGCTACAGTGGGCAGGTCCAGGATGAGAACCAGGCTCGGAGAGCTGAAGCCATTTGTCTGAGGTCTCACAGCTGCACCAGCGTCATGTATGGGAAGCCCAGCTCCCGCAGTGCGCCCAGCACCCGTGGGTACAGTGGCACTGGCAGCAACTCCCAGGAACCCTCCGTCACGTGCTCCATGGCGGGCTCCTTCGCCGCCTCCATATAGGCATGATTTTTTTAAAGTAAAAAGAGGTGAAACTATAATTTCAATATTTTAAATTTTAACCGAATATACCCAAAATATATTATTTCAACCTATCATCAATGTGAACATTATTAATTATATATTTTACATTCTTTTTTTTCACAATAAATCTTCAAAATGTGTCTACATTACATGTAAGACACATGATTTAGATACTAAGTTTGCATTAGAAATACTTGATAAGAGGCTGGATGCAGTGGACTCATGCCTGTAACTCAGCATTTTGGCTAAGGTAGGAGAATCCCTTGAACTCAGGAGTTCAAGATCATCTTGAGCAATGTAGAGACTTCATCTCTATTAAAAAAAAAATTAGCTGGGTGTGGTCACATGTACTTGGAGTCCCAGCTACTTGGGAGGCTGAGGCAGGAGAATTGCTTGAGCCTGGGTGGTCAAGGCTGCAGTGAGCTATGATCACACCTCTGTACTCCAGCTCAGGCAACAGAGTGAGACTTTGTGTCAAAAACAATTTTTTTTAAATAAATACTTGATGAGGCCAGGTGCAGCAGTTCACACCTGTAATCCCAGCACTTTGGGAGGCCGAGGCTGGATGATGGCTAGAGCTCAGGAGTTTGAGACCAGCCTGGGCAACAAAGTGAGAACTTGTCTTACAAAAAAAGTTTGAAAATTAGCCAGGCTTGGTGGCATATACCTGTGGTCCCAACTACATAGGAGGCTGAGGCAGGAGAATTGCTTGAACCCAAGAGTTGGAGGCTGCAGTGAGCCAAGATCATGCCATTGCACTCTAGCCTGGGCAACAGAGCAAGATCCTGTATCAAAAAAAAAATATTTGATCAGTACTTAGATTTCATAAAATTTAGCATTGAAAATATAGATTCACTTATCCAAGTTGTTGCAAACATACTTGAAATTTTACAGTAACTAAATTGAGTTTTCCAATTACTGAATTGAATATTGTTTTTCTAATTAAAATTAAATCATAAATTCAGTTCCTCAGTCAAACTAACCAGATTTCAGTTCTCAAGCACAACGTGTGGCTGTGGGTACCATATGAGACAGCACAGGTGCAAACTTTGCAAGCAGATAGGCCCGCCATTTAGTCATACAGTGCTGAACATGTTCGTTGAATTGTCTTAGTCACAGTTTCCTAATTTACAATTTACAAATTTACTAATCCACAAAGAATAAATATCCACCATGAATTATTCTCTTTAGTAGGAGAGGCAATATATCAACACTGCATAGCACAACAACTAACAGATTTTAGTAAGTCCTCAATAAGTAGTGACTACTTTTTACTTAATATTTTAAGAACAAAACAGAAACACCACTAAAGCTAAAGAATTATACAGTGAATCCCCATACACTCATTTCCTAGATTCTACAATTGTTAATATTTGGTTGTATTTGCCTTATTATTTGTGTAGCTAAATACCCATTCATCAGGTCATCTTACTTTTTCATGTATTTCAGAGTCATGCAGAAATTGCAGACATCAGTACACTTCACCCCTAAAACTCCAGGATGCATATCATTAACTTATTGTTTGGTTTTGGTTCTTTCTCTTCATTTCTTCTTTCCTTCCTTAGTTGTGTTTACCCTTTTTCTTTTTTCTTCCTTCCTTCTCTCCCTTTGCTTCCTTCCTTCCTTCCCTCCTCAATTTTTCCTTATTTACTTTAGATAAAATGTGTGTCTAGTGACATGCAAACATACTAAATGAACAACTGGCTGTGTACTGCCAATGGGCATATCTGTGTGAGCCAAATCTCTGTCAAGGTATAGAACATGCCCATTATCTATACCGTGAGGAAAGTTCCCTCACGCACCTTCCTTGTTAATTCCAGCCCCACTGCACTGCCCCTCCCCAGGCAATGATTGTCCCAGTTATCCCCCAGTGATTAATTAAGCCTAATCTAGAGTTTCAAGTTAATGGAATCATACAATAAGTAGCCTTTTGTATAAGGCATCTTTCACTCAGCGCTATGCTTTTGAGACTCATTCATGTGGCATATTTACTTTTTTTTTTTTTTACTATTGAGCAGTAATTATGTCTGTTTTTAATCAAGCGAACTGATGATGATCTGACCCTCCCTGAACAACTCATTCCATTCTTTCACAGCACAAAAATTCTTCATCAGGTGAATCCAACACAGATCTCCTCAAAACTTGCAGGTTTTAATGCCAGCTCAACTCCTTAGTATTAATGAAGAATAAAAAGCACTTTTTTCATACAACATCCTCTAAAGTTTACACATAGGTAAGAACTTCTTCTGATACTTCTATGAAAAAGACAACAATCTTCCTAATTCCTTTAGTCTTTCTAGACACAATTGTGTTTTAGGTTCTTTGAGTGTCCTTCTCATTCTCTGTGTTCACTCCCTTAGCACAATTTGTAATTTATATTGTTTTCTTGTATATTGGATATCCTTGCCCACTAGATCATAAGTTCCAAAGGAAAACCCCACGTCTATTTTAGGCACCAGTGCACACCCAGCACCTAGTACAGTGCATGGCACTCAACAAATAATTTGTTGAATGAATAAGTGAATATATGAAGGAAGGAAGAAGCTCACCTGTGAACATGTTTAATTTTGTCAATATGTTAAGTGTGTCTGGAGCAGCAAGCAGGTCTTCCAGGGGCCTAGGCTGGAGTTTGTAGGAAACACTAATTCCCAAGAGATACACCTTAGGGATGCACCAACCCAACGCACTGACTTCATTCTTGGCCAGAAGAAGAACCTTGAGTCACTATCTCTGTTGGTTTTTTACTGAGCTGAATGGATAGACTGGACCAACACCTGAAATTTCACTTAAAATCTAAAATCAATCATAATTATCTGGGCCCCTGATTTCATGTTCCAACCCCCTCAGAGCTCCAGAATTAAGCATACACTGTTTAGGGGAGGGTTTCGCCCACATGCCCAAAGTCCAAATATATGAGATAATTTTCTAAAACATCTATTTGTTTTGCCCTTCTTGGAGTTTTCCTTCTTCTCTTCCAAAAACATAGCCAGACCTTTGTGTTCACTTTCTTGTTTGTGATCCATGAAAGCAGAAATTACGTTTAGACAATTTGACTCTCTTGCTTGTTTTTCCAGAATCACAGGACTCCTGAAGGAATTATCCTAGGGAGAGGGAGGAAGGAGGGATTTTAAGGTAACTAAAGGAAGCAGAGATATTTTTCTCAGACTGGGAAGGGGTTGGGGTTGTCAGATTCTTCAGATAGTGTGACCCACACCCACCTCCTCCTGCCCTGTGGAGGGAAGAAAGCAGAACCTCAGGATGCTATGAATGTGGGGTCTGGGAGCATCTGGACTCCCACCACCAGGCTCCCAATAACAATGACAGATCAAGTCCCAGCTTCACAAAAAAGCTGCTCACCTTCAGTGAGTTACCTAGCTTGGGACCCAGGATTTCAGTGCTCAATCTGATGTCTTGAGTGAAAGAGCCTTCTCCTGAATTTAGTGTAGGCTTTCTGATTTCTTACATGGCACTAGAGAAACAGAAAGAGGAAGAGAATACCATCCTCATGCCCTCCTCTGTAATGACTAAAATTGACATATTTTTGTCACTTGAGAGAGATGGAAACTCTGAGATTAATTTAATTTGATTTTTAAAAATAAAGAAATATTACATTAATTAAGCACATGAGATTATGGAGTAAGATTTATGAGGACAAAAAGGAGAGAAGAGGGGTGTGCAAGGGAGAAATAGAGCCACATCTGAGGCAAGATAAAAGAAAAGAAGGGAAAATGGAAGAAAGAAGGTGGTGAGGGTATACATGGATGACATGTACTACAGAGCTAAATAATTATGAGCTAACAAACTGCCAAATAATGGCCATTCTATCCTTTTCTTGGCCAAACATGTATTCATAATGATAGAATGAAGAAAGATTTTTAAAGGCTATGGTTTTTGCATGACTGAAAGTCAACAAACTCTCAAATATGACTAGATTTAATTACATTGTGTTTGTCTGGGTATCTTCTTGATAGGCCAGTAGTATTTGATAAGTAATAAAATAGGTGTCATTAATTCACAAATACAATCCACAAAGGTTTTTTTTTTTTTTTTGCCTTTGTTTCAGCAAAACACTATGTTGTAATCGGCACTTTCACTTATTTTATATTCTATTGACAGTAATGCCAAAATAGATGCTTTTCTTAAAATATTATTGTCCTAAGGTAGTTTTTTATTACTAATTTCTGCTTGGGGAAAAATTACTCTGCTAACACAGTAGCAACTGGAGTTGTCAATAAAATTCCTTTATAGATCATGTCCAAACATTGTATTTGGATTGTTGGTCATAGATTATTTTTACCACAACTTACCAAATATTTTCATTTTAAAATATAGTCATATCACAATTTTCATCATTGCTTAAAGCAACATCTAGAGCCATATATGAAAAACAACTACTCACAAAATGTCTAGATGTGTAGCTATACTGATGTAAGAGTAATTTGGATGATTTCATTTCAGAATAGGCTCCCCAGACTCCAGGTGCTACTGTTCTGAATGCTGTGCTAATTTGTAAATACCTGTGGAAACACAAAGAGAAGTAAGAAAGTAGATGCTCAGCACAACTGGGAAATGATACTTGATCACACAAGGCTCTATTGCCTTCATGCTATCAGAGAAAAATGATTTGACAAGCCAATAATTTGTCTTTTCTCTTACCTAGGTGCTTCTGCCACTCAAAATCTTTTCACAGACTCTAAGGTAGTGTTCATCACTGATGTGAGTAGCAGCAGGACAGCTCATAAGTCTTTAAGGCATTTGGATACAGGACAAGATGGAGAAGTATTTGCCTGGGGCCTGAATGATGTGAATCATGAGGGTGGGTATTTAGGGTCACACTATCTCAGCACTGAAAACTGGATCCCAAGTGGCAGAGGTTCCCACATGTTCTTTAATCTGTGTCTCTATGTGATATGTAGGACTCTCTAAAGTATGAGGTTAGGGCTGAGCCCCTTTTGCCTTGCCTAGCTGAGTACTCAGAAGGAGAAGAGAGAATGAAGAGAAGGAAGGAGGAGAGAGAAAAAAGGAAAGTGGATAAGAAAGAACCTGAAGGTACCTTCCATACCTCCAAAAACTTAAAACCTCTAACATTAATGATCTGATTTAAAAAAAAAACAAACCCTCAGCACTGGTGCATCTGTGAAACAGATTCAGAGTGTCTACAAATGTACTTAAATATGGAAATATGTTTACTAAAATTCTTTAATACAATGTATTGGTTAAATATATATATATATCCTCTTCTGTTTTTTTCTATTGCAAATGAGATCATTTTTTTCTTCCCAATTCCTTTCCCTTTACTCTTCTTAGACTCTCTCCATGGATGAGTGGGGATGCAGGTGTAGGATGATAGGGACAATAAACATTGTCCCTATCATGTCTCTCATTACCGGGTTCCACATTCCGAATTTCAAGGAACAGTAGACATTTTTTATAATTTTGAGAATCCATGTGGAATTGACCATTTGCAGAAGGGAGAGGGCAAAATAGGTCATTGAAAACAAACATCAGCCATCTGAAATCTCCATCAATTCCTAAAAATGACATTTCTAATGCACATACAGACAATCATGAAAATGTATACTTAGACTAAAGACTATTTGAATGGATAGTTTTGTTTTTAAAGAAAACTTCCTTATTGCACTTATTTATTCATTAGTTTGTTTGTTCATCCATTTGTTGCCACAATCTGTTGAAAGTTTCATGAAAAACATGACCCGGTCTTTGGTTTATCTTTTGGAATCCAGTGCACAGTTGTGTCCACCCAAGCAGAGCCAATGAAGCTCTTACGAGTTCTCCACTGAATGACATGGCAAGAGCTTTGATACTGCAGAACACATTGTGTGTGTGAGAGAGAGTGTGTGTGCATGCAAGTGTGTGTGTGCATGCCTGTGTGTGTGTGCAGTTGGCGAGGACTTTGTTTCCAAAACTAATAGAAGTCTAGAAATCATTGAACATCACTCATTGCATTGACTTTGAAAACATCCCTAAGATGGTGGCCCTGAACACATCAAGCTGTCAAGAGATTTTGTGTTTATTTAGACATTAAGCATAAGGAAAACAGTAATCTATACCTCTAAATCGAACCAGAGACTAGGAAAGAAGAGAGGGAGAAACACAGATGTCACTGTGAGAAATATGGTCGGATGAACAGCACAATCTCTTGCACTCTAAATGGCCAAATGACAGCTGGATGACAACCATCCTCGGAGGAATGAAGAAGGACTTTTTCTCACCCAGAAAATTGAAGGGCTTACAGAGTGCTGACAAATGGCTGATAATCCCCGCTGTAAAGCAGCCTGGTCCTGAACTATAACATGTTGTCTCTCAACAGAACCACCCGAGGGTGGTGGCCGCTGTTGCTCCCACCACTCCTCAGTAGAAGTGCAAAGACATAAGTGACACACAGGCTGCAGGTCAAGGACTCATTTTCCTCCTTGGATAATCAGGATCTTGGTACAATTCACAGATGGGCTTTTACCCCTAGGAGGAAAAGGTGGAGCAGCTGATTATGGATGATGACGCTCCAGCTGGGTGAACTGATCACACCACTTACTGGTTATGGACTCTGGGCCCACTACTTTGCTGCCCAGAGCCTCCACTTCCATGCATTTAAGCAGGGCTAGGCCCACCTAATAACTGTGTTACTGTGGGGCTTTAAAAAAATGTTGTAAATGGGTAACCTGCTCAGCAAAAAATCATCCCTTTTCTTTTTTTCTTTTCATAAAATTTATTTTTCAAATTGACAAATTTTCTTTCTATTTATGGTGTATAACATGTATTGCAGAATGGCTAAATTGACTTCATAATGTATGTATTGCCTCATACACATCGTTTTTTGTGTTAAGAACACTTCAAATCTGTTCTCTTAGCAATTTTCAAGTATATTATACTATTATTAATTATAGTCAGAATGTTGCATAATCAATCTCTTGAACTTCTCCTAATTGAAATGTTGTACCTTTTGGCCAATATCTCTCAATCCTAGCATCACCCCCAGTGCCTGGTAAGCATCATTCTACTCTCTGCTTCTATGAGTTCAATGGTTTTAGATTCCCTGTAAGTGAGATCATGTAGTATTTGCCTTTCTGTGTCTGGCTTATTTCATTTAGCATAATATCCTCCAGGTTAATCCATGTTGTTGCAAATGACAGGATTTCCTTCTTCTTAGAGCTGAATATATGAATAAAGAAAGTGTGGTATATATAATAAATTATATATATAAATATATATATAAATGATAACAATGAATGAAGAAAATGTGGTATATATAAATTATATTTATATATAAATAACATATATAATTTATATATATAAATATATAATATATAAAAATTATTTATTTTTAAGATTATAATTATATTATTTTAAATTATATTATAAGATTTATAATTATATCATAAATCTTTTATATATAATTTATATATATCTATAATTTATTATATATACATTTTCTTTATTCATTTATTGTTCATGGGTGCATAGATTGGTACCATTTCCTGGCTATTATGACTTATGTTGCAATGAATATAGGACTGCTCTTATGTCTTTGACATACTGATTTCATTTCCTTTGGATATATATCCAGCAGTGGGATTGCTGAATCCTATGGTAGTTGTATTTTTTAAGGATTTCTTTTAGAGACAAGATTTGGCTATGTTGTCCAGGCTGGACTCAAACTTCCTAAGCTCAAGTGATCTTGCCACTTCAGCCTCCTGAGTTGCTGAGACAACAGGAATACACTACCACATGGTATTTTAAAATTTTTAAGGAAACTTTACATTGTTTTCCATAGTGATTGTACTGTTATCTCTTTTCAAATATTATTTTTCTATCTCAATATAAATATCCTATGAGCCTTTCAAATTTTCCATAGGCCTATCATCTTATAAAATGACTACCACCATCAAATAGGGAAGAAGAGGAAGAGAATGCTTGTCACTGCGGAGGATGAGTCATTGCTGAATAGCTATGGGCATTACAGAATTCCCTAGGCCTCCCTGATAGAACCCTGAGCCACTTGCCAGTCCCCAAGTCCTGACCCAGGCATGAGGATTCCTGCTACAGGAAATATCCCAAATCCTCAAGGAGCACATTCAGAGAATGGCTATTTGCTGGGCCCCTTTCTTCTGTCACTACTTGCTGGCTCATGAGAGCTGAGCTGTCCTGTCAAATACACACTAGCTTCCTTCACACACATGCAAAAACTCCAATGGAAGCTCCCGCTCTATGGCATGAACCAGATTCCTTCTATTTATAAGCAGCAGCCCAACAGGCAGGCTTCATTCTGTAACTTGCAGTTCTCAGCAAGCTGCACCAGAATAGAGATGTGTTCATACTTTCCAGTCACCCAGATTGCCACTTCAAAAAGAGAGTGATAGACAAATACGCTGCAACCCGTTTATAACATTTTCCCATGTTTAACTTCCAAATTGGAGAGTCTTAAGCACAGTTGCCAAAAGCAATTTTTTTTTGAAATGCAATACTTTTTTTTCTTGGTTTCTTAGTAAATGGTAACTGAATTTTTTCCCCTACTGTTTCTTTTCAGAGGCCAAGAGTTTTTCACTCTTGGTCTGCAATACCCTGCCTGGGCTATCACCCAAATGGCTTTCACACTTAAAGTGAGAAAGAATTAAGTGCTTCTGCAATTGAAAAATGGTTCTGTCTGCCTTGGAGCCACAAAGCTCTCTTTACTGAACTATTGCTTTTAAGACTCCAAAGCTAAGTGTACCAATGAGTCTACGATGGTGCCAAGAAAGAAACTAGAGAATGAAGAAAATCCCGTCACTTTTCTGGAGCACATCTGAGTGTTTTCACCTAGTTTTTACTCCCAGATGTTTTGGAAGAGGGAATTTCACAGCAGTGAAAATCCGGTTTTCATACAGTGAGCCTAGTACAACCTTACAGGTTGTCATCTTGATATAATTTCCACGCAATAACAGTTTAAATTGGTTGTGGAGTACATTTTCAAATTCAGTTGGTCAGAAGGAGATTCTTCACCTGTGCTTCTAGTAGAATGCAATACTGAACTTACTCTAACGGCGGGAAAAAGCAGGTAAGCTCATCTCTATCAATGATTATCCTCTTCAGAGGACTAAACAAATCTCTTTACATCCCAAAAGTATATATTATCCTGTAATCTGTGTATGTCTTTTACAAAGCAGGCTTACTAAGGGGAAGACATATTTGAATCAGTTTGCCCTAAACACTTTCAAGCATTTTGCTAAACATGTACTTACTGTTATGCCCCTAAACAGAATGGCAATCTTCCTCCTTCCAGCATTTAAGTACAGCCTTTGCTCCGTGAATGGTGGTCTAGCAAATCCTCCAGGAGTTTACCAATTTGCAAGAAGCTCTATTACAATGCTTTATTATCACGTTTTCTTTTCTAAAATGAACTGTAGATGTTCAAGTCATCATTTCCGTTAAGTGTTTTTTCTTACCGAACTTTGAAGCAAGGCTAACAGTGTTTTTCAAAAGCATTTAAAAAATTCGACAGGGATCAGCAAGGACACTAAAAACCAGTAAAAAGTAGAGAGATCTATATTTGAAACAGAAAGGGACAGCCCTGAAAATCATAGAGCAGTCAGTTTAGTTTTCATACCTGGAAAACACTAGAACAAATCATCAAAAAATCAATTTGCAAACACCCATAAGATCACAGAATACTAGGTAATAATCAACATTGCTTTGTGAAGAACAGTCTTGTCAGAACCATCTAATTTCCTTCTAAAACAGAGTGACAGGCCTAGTAGATCAGAGGGATTAAATAGATGTAACAGAGCTTGAATTTTATAAAGCTCTTGATTCTCTCTTCCATGATATGCTCATCAACAGATAACTTCAGACCAGAAGAAATTTGCTGTGAAGGTTTACTAAAAAGGAGAGCTCTCAGTGTTTCAGCAATTAATTGGCAGGTGGAGATTTGGATAGGAGAATATTTGGTGCGATACTACTTGGCACAGCAATGAGTGGTTCCTGGACACTTAGACATGCCCATCAGCCCCAAACATCGTCCTGGCACATGCTGTGTCCTCAATCAACACTTGTTCAATGAAAGAATGATTAATCAGATAGCAACTGTTTGCTGAACTATCATGACTCTAAAATGAATGGATAGGCCAGGTGTGATGGCTCACGCCTATAATGCCAGCACTTTGGGAGGCCAAGGCAGGTGGATCACCAGAGGTCAAGAGTTCAAGACCAGCCTGGCCTACATAGTGAAACCCTGTTTTTACTAAAAATACAAAAATTAGCCAGGCATGGTGGCAGATGTCTGTAATCAGAGCTACTCAGAAGGCTGAGACAGAAGAATTGCTTGAACCTGGGAGGCAGAGGTGGCAATGAACCGAGATTGCACCACTGCGCTCCAGCTCGGGCAACAAAGGGAGACTTCATCTCCAAAAAAAATAATAAAACAAAATAAAATACGTGGGTAGACTAGCATTTTGTGGAGGATTATTTGTCCTTCCTCTATGAAGAGCCAGCTTACTACGGGCACTGGAGACTCTATTGGGTAAGGGATTTACATTGTTTGGGAAAGATTTAGTTA